GTGAAGCCAAGCTATTGGCAAGAAGCCCCTGCAAAATCCCATTGCTGAAAAAAAGACACGTGCTGAAGAGGTTACAATCTGCCAAAGAACACTTTGACTTGCCTAAAGTGAAACGCCGCAACATTTTGTGGACTGATGAAAGCAAGATTGTTCTTTTTGGGTCTAGGGGCCCCAGAAAGTTTGTCAGATGACCCCTAAACACTGAATTCAAGCCACAGTACACTGTGAAGACAGTGAAGCATAGTGGTGCAAGCATCATGATATGGGGATCTTTCTCATACTATGGTGTCGGGCCTATTTATCGCAAACCAGGGATCATGAATCAGTTTGAATACCTCAAAATACTTGAAGAGGTCATGTTGCCTTACGCCGAAGAGGAAATGTCCTTGAAATCAGTGTTTCAACAAGACAACGACCCCAAACACACCAGTAAATGAGCAACATCTTGGTTCCTGACCAAGAAGATTGACGTTATGGAGTGGCCAACCCAATCCCTGGACCTTAATCCAATAGAAAACTTGTGGGGTGACATCAAAAATGCTGTTTCTGAGGCAAAACAGAGAAATGTAGTCCAATCATCCTGGCCTGGAATACCTGTTCACAAGTGTCAGAAGTTGGTCGACTCCATACAACACAGATGTGTAGCAGTTCTCAGAAACAGTGGTTATACAACTAAATATTAGTTCAAAATCAAAAATCTTAAAACATTTTTCAGTTCATACAGTGAATCTTTGAGTTTGTAAAGAAGAATGTGGACACTGCTATTTTTTTGAACAGCCTAATATTCCCGTTCCTTCACTTTCTGTAAAGGAATAACACAAATGTGATGATTTTCTCTTCTTGTTTTGATTTGGAATAGAATTTGTAGTGTTCCCAATGCATTTGCTTGTATGGAAATAAAAACTATTATAAGGATTTTCAGCGTTATTCACTTTTTTAGACACACTGCTATTATTCTGAACACAACTGTATATATGAGTGAAATGAATGAAGTAACAATTTCCATTATAAAACCAGTAAATTTGCAACATTTTTACTGAATTAAGCATCGCAAGACTTTCTATGAGCACCGTATGTGAGTCAGTCGTTTGATTATATCAGAACCAGATAAAACAATACCAGCCACATTCCAATAACCACTCAGCAAAATGAAATGCATAACTTCTTATTTTCAAGTTGCTGGAATAATACCCACCAGGATTTGCTTTGATTGTATCATTAATCGGTTCAGACACCATTGGCCGCAGGTTCCACTGATCTGCAGAGATCCAACATGAAGACATAACTTAATGACAGTTAAAAAGAATTAGGAATCTGGACATATTTTTAAAATAATTATTGTTTACCGTGAATTCAGTATTAAATCCCACAAACATTAATATTCCACATTTTAGACACTGACCTACTTTTCTTTGATTATAAGACTTTGCAATTACATTCCTTACCAGCAGGGGGCAGTACTGGGTTAAAAACATTGAATGAGCAGCTCTTTACAAAAGATTGCATGTTTTGCTTTTTTCTAAAGCAAGGGCGGATTGGAATTATATTACAGATAGAGCAGTTCTGAAAAACACTGCAAAGAAATATATATTTTTAAACGGTCATCTTAGAATATGTACTACTTAGTTTATCATTCAATAAACTTGTTATGGCAAACAAGTGAATCACCGGTAAAACCCCAAACTTGTCTCAAGAAGGCTGTCTGTTCAAAGATTAGGGATGAAACTGCTTAAAAAATATTTATCCATGGGAATATTTTTTCAGTGGCCATAAATAAGAAGATAGAAAACAATCCAGCAGACCGAGAGGTAAGGTTAGGTGGTTTGAATGAATAAAGGGACAAAAGGCAACTTATGAGTCTCTTGGACAAAATCCAGGTGCAAAATAAATAATAATCTTAATAACTGTGTGATTATGAAAAGTGTACACTACCACTAGTTTTGCTTTGTTAAAACTTGAGGGTTCGTCCCTGGTGAAAATGGAGGAAGGTGACAACCAATCTGGTTCCTCACCCTACCCACCATCACCACAAAAAAGGAGCAAAGCAGACAGTGGGCAGCTAGGCCCCAGCAGTGCCTCAGCGAGGCACCAGCCAGGCCGCAGCGAGATAACAGCAGTGCCTCAGCGAGGCACCAGCCAGGCCCCAGCAGTGCCTCAGTGAGATAACAGCAGTACATCAACAATGCACCAGCGAGGCCCCAGCAGTGTCTCAGCGAGGCACCAGCCAGGCCCCAGCAGTGCCTCAGTCAGGCACCAGCCAGGCCCCAGCAGTACCTCAGTGAGGCACCAGCCAGGCCCCAGCGGTGCCTCAGTGAGATAACAGTAGTGCCTCAGCAAGGCACAACCCAGGCCCCAGCAGTGCCTCAGTGAGTCACCAACCAGGCCCCAGCAGTGCCTCAGTGAGGCACCAACCAGGCCCCAGCAGTGCCTCGGTGAGGCACCAACCAGGCCCCAGCAGTGCCTCGGTGAGGCACCAACCAGGCCCCAGCAGTGCCTCAGTGAGATAACAGCAGTACCTCAACAATGCACCAGCCAGGCCCCAGCAGTGTCTCAGTGAGATAACAGTAGTGCCTCAGCGAGGCACAACCCAGGCCTCAGCAGTGCCTCGGTGAGGCACCAGCTAGGCCCCAGCAGTACCTCAGTGAGGCACCAGCAAGGCCCAGCAGTGCCTCAGTGAGATAACAGCAGTGCCTCAGCGAGGCACAACCCAGGCCCCAGCAGTGCCTCAGCGAGGCACAACCCAGGCCCCAGCGGTGCCTCAGTGAGGCACCAGCCAGGCCCCAGCAGTGCCCCAGTGAGATAATAGCAGTGCCTCAGCGAGGCACCAGCCAGGCCCCAGTAGTGCCGCAGTGAGATAACAGCAGTGCCTCAGCGAGGTACCAGCCAGGCCCCAGCGGTGCCTCAGTGAGATAACAGCAGTGCCTCGTGCCTCAGCGAGGCACCAGCCAGGCCCTAGCGGTGCCTCAGTGAGGCACCAACAACACCCTTGAGCTGCAAGCCGTGCAGAGACTCACCTTTCACTTCACATGAAATTGTCTCGGAGATGTAGCCTGCAGACCCAGCCAGGGTAAATGCCATTCTGCAGGTGTAGTTTCCGGCATCGCTGAGAGCCACATTCTTTATCACAAGCATGTCCCTGTTCACATTGGAATATTTGTCCCCGTTCAGGAGGGGTTCGCAGCCCTGCCCAAAACAGGAGATACTCTTGTTGGTTAAATCACTGCTTAGGCCATGGTACAAATGATGCTGCCACTGCACATTGAATGGCTAAGGGGTGCTCAGTCATTTACTAAAAATATTTAGCTGATCTCTATTAGACATTCAGATGTTATTTGACAGCTGTGACATTATATGAATAGGGGAAACATCTTTTTAAAACATCTTTTAACAGGTATGACCTGCAAGACTGGTCACAGTCCACGTAAAAGCACAGGCATCAGGCAGAATAGTAACAAACACAACGGGTGCATTTGGTCTCAGAAGCACAAGATCAAGGAACTAGGTTCTTTCCCCAAGTTTCATAAGTTGAGGTCATCACTGTAAGCTCAATGCACAGTGTACAATACAGAAGCTGAGAATGCAAACTGTGCGATTATTTCTGGAACATGCTTGGTTGTTTGGTTCAGACCCAGCAGAAGATGGAGCCACAGGAGGGATCAACTAATCAAGCACATAGCCAAGAGCAGCAATTGATCAAATTTTAATTTTAATTATGATTTTGGCTTCCAACGATCATCAAAACAAAAAAATTTAGATAAAAAGATTATTGTGTCGCTTTTTGTTTTGCAATAATGCTCCCGTTTTGTCTGGTGTTATAAACCCCATTCCAGCCCATTTTATTTGTTTCTCAGTTGAATTATATTTAGAGTTCAAAGAAATCCAATGTTAAAAAATTCAATAAATGCATGATAAATCCAAAGCCAATGATAAATCATGTTAAATAATCATGATCTCAATATTGACCAAAATAATCTTATTATTATTTAAAACCTTTAAATAATAGTCATTAAAATCATTAAAAATAATTATGATTTTTGCTGTAATGGAGCAGCCTTACCTTATACCACTTAAATGAATACTTAGTCAGGTGAGCCATGTAGGAATACAATGGGCAAAACAGCAGACCATTGGCAACTGTGGTTAGTGGCTGAGTTGGTCGGTATGGTCGACTGCAGTCCTCTGGTCGAGTTTCATTCACAGACAGCACCATTGCTTGTTTGAAGCACTGATCAGCAGTTCTACAATGAAGTATACAAAACAACAAAGAAAATCAGAATTCAATTTTGTAAACGAATACAGTATGAATAAATCCAGGGAATAAACATCTTATTTCTAGCCTGAAGTTTACCCCAAACCGTGTGAAAATCAAAACACTTTCTGAGCCAAACGTCACACTTCGCCCGACCTACACTTCAGCAGTAATCTCCATCCAGGGGACGTACCTCAGGATACACATGTAGGTGCCGCTGTCCTGCAACGTGCTTCTCAGAAGCCAAATTATGTTTTTCTGGACCTGGACCCACCGGTTGTCCACACTCAGTTGCCCATCTGGGTTACTCTTATGCCAGGAGATGATGTCAGAATCTGTGACATTCTTGTCCAGGTGACAGGTGAGCATGGCAGCCTCCCCTGGAATGGTGAACACTGACTCCACCTTAACACCAAGGTCCACACAGTCCTCTGCAAAAGCCCACATGGACATTAGGAAGTTATGCAAGTGAGAGGCAGAAGGAGGACACCAAAGACATGGAGGACAGGAAAAGCACAAAACCTTTATGCAAAGTCTTGAATGGAAAGGCCTGGTTGCTCTACAACTGAGATGCTCAAGGCAGTGTTTCCCTACCCTGTCCTTGGCGACCCCTCGACAGTCCATGTTTTGATCTCTGGTTGTCTGATTGGTATCTCACCAGTTTTACCCGTTTCATTGTCATTATTATTATTGCAAATTCATTAATCGGTTCTCCACTGCCAGTATCCAAAGTAACCAAAAATAATCACTCGTATTCAGTTTTTCAATTTTTAGTTCACATATCTTACACCAGTGTTTCTCAGACGGTCCATGTTTTAGGGAAAATGTGAATTGTCTGGCAGGGAGCAGCTGTATAAGGTCAGACTCTTCCCATTTTGTTTCTCCTCATTTTATGACTGTTGATTTGATTGTCGACGCCTGATTGACAGTAAATGTGGCCAGTCTGTGACCGCTAAAGAAAAGCAAAGAAAAACAAACTACACTATATGAAGAAAAGTATTGGGACACCTGGCCATTACATGTTCAGGAACTTTTATGACCTCCCAATATAAATCCTTTGCAGCCATAGCAGCTGTCACTCTTCTGGGAAGATTTTCCACAAGGCTTTGGAGTGTGTCTGTGAGAATTCTTGGACATTCGTTCAGAAGAGCATTTGTAACATCAGGCAATGGATGGCTAGATAGATCATGAGTAAGTCGCTGAAGCTACTCTTGAGCTTCTCGAGAGTTTTATGGAGAAGGTCAGAGGCATGGTCCATAATTCCTCCAGAGTGACAAGCTTGGAGCCAACAACAGACACAGCCTTCCTAATGAGTTTGTTCAGTCTGCTGGCTCCCTTTGATTTGATGCCTGCATCATGTCTGCAGTATAGATGGTGAAAAGGATGAGAGATAAAACAGTTCCCTGGAGGCCCCAATGTTACTTATCAAATGCTCTGACACACACTTCTGAAGTCTCACAAACTGTGGTCTGCCTGTCAGATAGCCGCCAATCCATGTGACCAGGAGAGCCTCCATCTGCATGTCCTCCAGTTTAACCCTCAGCATTCTGGGCTGGATGGTATTAAAGGTGCTGGAGAAGTCAAAGGGAGGAGTATGGCTTCTGCAGCAGATATATTATTCCATCCTCCACACCTGCGTGGGGCGGGTATGCAAACTGCAGAGGTTCTTGAGATGGATGCTTTAGTAGCCTGAGGTATGCTAGGACCAGCCTCTTCATGACCTTCAATACATGAGAGGTTATGGCTGTTAGTCGTTTGGTGATACAGGATGTCCCTTTTTGGGCACTGGAACCAGGCAGGACATCTTCCATAGCCCTGGGACTCTCTGGAGGTACATGCTCAGGTTGAAGACATAGCAGGTCTTCAGCATACGAGGGCTGATGCCATCTGGTCCAGCAGCCTTTCCCTGGTGGAACCTCTCCAGCTCTCTCCTCACCTGGCTGGCTGTGATGTGTAGTCCAGTCTGGCAGGTGGGAGATTTGGTAGAGTCTGAAATAGAGCCTGTAGTGGGTGTCAGGACAGAAGTGGAGTGGGGGGGGTGACAGGGTTGGAGCAAAGTGGTGTCTGTTGCAGGAGTTGGTGACGGGATGTGGGGGATGTGAGAGAGTCATACAGTTCTTGCTCAGAGGAGCAGTAGGGGGGTGCTTGGGGTGGGGGACTCAAAGTCAAACCTGTTGAAAAACTGGTTCAAGTCGTTAGCTTGTTGTACATTCCCCTCAGCTGTACCCATCCCTTTCCTCTGGAAGCCAGTGATCTCTCTCATCCCATTGCATATGTACCTGGCCTTGTTCTTTTCCAATCTCTCCTCTACTTTCCTCCTGTAAGCATCCTAATTCTCCTTGAGTCTGTGTTTTAGCTCTCTTTATACCTGCTTGAGTTCTGCTAAGCCCCCTGATCTATAAGTCCTCCTCTTTTTTTGTCCAGGTTGCTGGTAACCTAGGGTTTGTTGTTAAGGTAGCAGCGGAGCTCTTTAGTGGGGATGGAATTGTGTATGCAGAACATGATGTACTCAGAGACCCAGTTTGTTAGGCCATCAATGTCCTCACTATGTGGTGCATACAGGGCATTCCAGTCACTGGCTTCCAATGATGTTGGACGTGGAGGCCTTGCTCTCCATTCTAATTCATCCCATAGATAATTTGATGGCATTGAAGTCAGGTCCCTGTGTGGTCCAGTCAAGTACTTCCACACCAAACTCGGACCTGTGCTTTGTGCAGTCATGTTCCAGTCATGCTGGAACAGAAAAGGGCCTTCTCCAAACTGTTCCCACAAAATGGAACAGCAGAATTGACCAAAATATCTTGGTATGCTGAAGTATTAAGAGTTCCTTTAACTGCAACTAAGCAGTCTAGCCCAACCCCTGAAAACAACCCCGTACCATTGTCCCTCCTCCGCCAAACTTTCCAGTTGGCACAATTGAGTCAGCAGGTAAGCTTGGCTATGGAAGCCCATTCCATGAAGCTCCTGGTGCACAGTTTTTGTGCTGGGGTTAATGCCAGAGGAAGTTTGGGACACTGCAGTTACTGAGTCAGAACAGAGCTTTGACGATTATTACACACCATGCCCCTCAGAACACAGCAACTTTACACAGCAAAAAGATTTTACTTTACATGGTCTGTCACTTCGTGGCTGAGTTTCTGTTGTTCGTAAATACTTGCACTTTGTAATAATACCACTTACAGTTGACTGTGGAATATTTAGAAGGGAACAGATTTTACAAACTGACTTACTGCCAAGGTGGCATCCTATGCCAGTGCCACGCTTGAATTCACTGAACAACCATGTAAGAATAATTCCGGATCTTTAAAAGTACTTTAAAAGTAGATTGCCATCCACCACTGCTATAAGTCATTAGTTTTCACTGAGGTGTATGTCTTCCATTCATTCACCAAGGTCAAGCTTGCTATATTCTCCATGATGTTCCCATACTACACAGTTTAACTGCTTGACTGTTACTCTGACAAAACACAGCTCTGGGCTCAGAAGACGACAGAATCATTCCAGAAGAGTTCTGGGGGTCATGTGAAAATTTCCTTGGTTAACTGCTCTTCATCCATGAAGCTCGAAGTTATCTCACAATCGCTTGGAAATTTCTGACCTTATCTGACAAGGAACTGAACTCTCTACCACTCATATATGCCAGCAGTAAATATTCCCTAAATCTTTTCTAAATTTCACATTTAAGAAAAATCTGAATAGGCTTGACATTAAACAAATGTTTCATGACATCTGCTGTCCTACAGTGCTGTGATTATGTACTTTGTACCCTTGCATTGATCACTCATCAAGGCTAAAGCCTAAAGTACTCAGACAGGAGCATTAAGGAGAGAGGGTACTGACCATCTATGGCCACGCAGACATTCCTGAGGCAGGATACGGCCACCAAAAGCATTGGGAAGCTCAGGTCCATCGCTGTGTGCAAGTGTCAGGATCTCCACACATTTCACACTGGATGAACTGCCAGCCTGGGGCTGAAGAAAAAGACAGGGTAAACAAAGATAAGCCTCTGTGACACAAAGTCTGCTAGTACAACAGCAGGCAGAATGGTGCCCAAAGACCCTGATATGACTAAACTGAATGTTACCCCAGTAACATATTCAGTAGCTGTATGCGTGTATCAATGTAAATACAGTAATAACGTGCTGTTATAAATGACATACTTCACTGTAAGTTGAATCATAAGAATATGTAAGAATATAAAGTCATTTCATTTTTGCATTGTAAGCACGAGAAAGACCACAAGTTATGTTCAGCCATTATATTTTTCTTGTTGGTTTGTTGATTTTTTAGAGCCAAAACCTCAATCCTGGATGTTTGCGCTACTGGTCCAGTCTGTAGTGTCCCATGATTGCAAATAAGCTCCTGGTTCCATTCTCCAGTCCCTGTGTCACGTGGATGCCTTTGGCATGCCATGATACAAATCATACAATGGCAAACTAGGAAACAGCTTGGGGTCAGAGTTCCTGTTCAGCAAACTTCAATCAACCAGTGCAAGGAAAAACAATCCTACACCGGACGTTGAGAAACAGATTTGTAACTATATCGTTGAACTGTCAACAAAAAGCAGCTACTAGACTAGAATTAAAGCATCGAAAATAGTGATTGAATTGAAAATGATCATCTGTCCATTTTTGGCAACAATTTATCCAGCTCTGACTAAACGTTTCCTATGTTGTCTGAACCTAATTGTGATTGACCTCTGTTGCATATAGAGCCCACGGAATCATTAATTACGCAATTTGGAGTCATAAAATAATCAGCAATTTATTGGACTGTCCCACAGGACAACGTACTTCCAGATCTATTCTCATCTAATACTGTCATACTGTACCATAAAGACCTTAGTAAAGAACAGATCTCCCTGGAGTAAACAAAGGTTTCTCATTTGAGCAAGTGTTTTTAAAATTACTTGATTTTTTTCAGATCCAGTATGCAGCATAACACAGAAAATTAGGGTTAATTAACCTTAAAACAATCTTAAAACAGCTGCAGCTTCAGAACACTACAACTATTACTACTTTCACCCATCCCTCTTCCATTTCAGGGCTACAGTGAACCCTATCCCAGGAAGAACAAGCCAGGAGAAATCCTGAACAGAACTCCAGTCCATTGTAGAGCACACCCTCACAGATGCACAATGACACGCTAAGGGCAACATGGAGACATTAATGCACCTAGACTGCATCTTTTTCAATTTCAGGGTGAAAAAAACCCCCATGGAGAGAGCATGCAACCCCCCATGTATGCAGAGCTAGGAACAGGAATGAAAACCCCAAACCTGGACAGGTCAGGCTACAGTGATGGCCACTAGATCAATGTGCTACTCTTGTATTACAGTCAGTAGGATGGTAATGAACCTCTGTAGTGGTTGAATGAGAATTTTTAACAGAGGTTCAAATCAAAGATAAATCAATATCAAAAACTCTAGCGGTAAAAGGCATGGAACACAAGCAGATGGAGAACACAACATGGCTACCAGAATAGACTGAATTCTCTTCTTACTTATGCTGTCACAGTATTCACAACGGCATGAGCTGAACAACAGGGAGACTAAACTAAACCAAAACCAAACCATGGCACCATGTGACAAAAGTGAGGCAAAATCCTACAAGCAAATTTCACCAATTTCTAACTTTTAAACAGCAGAAGAAGACAGGTGGGCTTAGCTGGTCCACCCATCCATTATGTAACCCGAGAAACCACATGTCACCCAGGGTGAGTTTATACACATCCAAATGTCTCAGACCAGCTGTTAGCAGCTGCATGCTCATCTATGCAGACCTGGTTGAGCCTGTATAATGTTGGAAGATTTTTACATTTGAGGTTTAACTATAAATGTGCAGCAGGAAAACCTTTGACTAAAGTAAAAAAAAAAATTAAAAAGTAAAAAAAGTGAAAAGTAAATACAAGTGAGCTAAATAGCACATTACAAACAGACAATTGTCAAGGAGTCAATTCAAAAGACCAGCTAGGATAAAACTAAAAGGAATGCCCTGTTGTATTTGTAAGTACTTTGGAGCAAAAGCTATAAAAACCTTTCAAACAAAGCAAGAACCTCATAAGACAACTTTTCCAATTAACAGACAATATTTCATGCAGAAGAATTCCATCAACAGAGGGTGTAGGTAAACAGAGGAAGCCAAACTATGTATTACTGGAATACCTGTTATTCTGAGCAAGCTGAATAACGTTTAAAGCATTATTATTATTATTATTATTATTATTTATTAGAAGAAGAAGAAGAAGAAGAAGAAGCAGCTTTACTCTTATCTCCAGTTCCAGTTGTAACAAATCTATGTGTCCATCCCAGACTGAAATACAACTCTTCAGAAGAAGAGTGCCAGATGATCCAAAAATAAAGCTGATTCCCCAAAGGGGTTACAGGAGCGCCTGTATGCAGGCCGACAAAAAGCAATTTTATCCACAGATAGTAGGAATGAGAACGCGCTTCTCATGATTAGCAAACATTTCTGATTCCTGCTGAGTTTTATAACCCTATCAGACTCCTGTGAAACCATATGCTACTCAGACCTTCGTCATAAAAAAAAAAACTATTTACACAGACATGTTTACACAAAGGGTCCAGGCACCGTTGAGACCAATCTGTACTGAGAGGAAAAATTCTGCATCATGAGAATATGCAACACTTAACTTCCCAGAGCTATTTTAAAACACTCCATCAGGGCACATATCCATCCCAAATCCTCACAAACCTCACAGCCTATACAGAGATACACTTGTAAAAGACAATACCGGACAGACAGGAAGAAACATGGATCCATCACAAGCTGCTGCTTCTGCTGTCCTTTTAAACCAGCTGAAATCCAGCCTATGCTGGGAAGAGTGTGTGAGTCATGGCTGGAGAGCAGTCAGACCAACAGGAGGGAGATAAACTTCATATCCGATTCCTATTCCAATTTCCTGTTAGAAAAACTAGTGTTTGCAGTGAAATGACAGACAGAAGCATCCAAAAGCACATTGATGCAGCATAAATATAAAAGAAGCTACATATAAATAACCTTATAATATAACTTTAAAACAAGCAAATAATATTAACTGTCACAAATATTTAGGAAATTTTCTCTTGTGCTTAACAAATGTAACTTAAATATGTTCACACACAAAAAAATCAATCAAATCAATATTTCCATTTAGAGATTGACTTGATCACCAATAACTCTTCGGCCAAAGTTACTCATAATTATGGGATGAAAGCGATAAATTATAATGCAGAAAGCAAAGTTTCCCAAAACTTTCTCCAGTGTGAGTTCCTTTTTTCATCAGAAATGTTTAAAGAGGCATTATCAGTGGGTTTTCCCTTGATGCTGACAAATGAGTGGAACCTTAATATTCCAACCAATATATCGGTCTAGCTCTAGACAGCACATACATCACACATCAAAGGAGGTATGTGCTTCTCTTCATTGAGGGGGAGAGGTATGATGAGATGATTCCAGACCAGAAGAAAAACAGATGGGGATAAATTGCATTCCATGTACATGAGGGAAAGCGCGATCGTTGATCATTCAGATTCTTAGCTTATCAGCTGCGCATTTGGGAAGTGGGTGATCTTACATATACGGTCAGGCGAATGCGCGCCGGATCTTCGGAGCATATACAGACCAACAGTATCATTTAGAACTCTGGACAGATTCTGCTGCAGACTCTCCTGCCCGGATGTCACCGGTGCCCGAATTTAAGGAGATGCAGGCGGATCTGGCCCAGAATCACTTTCTATGTGGGTATTCATTGTACATATTTGCACATTATTTTTATTTCCATAGTCACTGATTTTTTCTTCAACTAGGGATGCAGGAATCTGCATTTTCTGAGAAGCCCAAGCAATAGAGTATAATCCAGAAAGGACAGCGACGCAGTACTCTTGCATGCACATTTATTTACACTAAGGGGAATTTCGTCACCGAGGGAACCACAGTGTCTTCTTCCAAGCAAACATGGGGAACACAGGCAATGTTTGCACAAAGCAGAAAGAGAGAGCTAGATAAGAGGCTGTGAGGTTTCAGCACTTATGTAAAATGGCTGTACCGTCCATACATATTTGAAAAAATTTGAACAGTTACAGAAAAGTACTGCTATGTTATACTCTTGAAGGTCATTTTATGAATTCCATACTGGACTACAGTCAAACCTCGGATTGCGAGTAACTTGTTTTGTGAGTGTTTTGCAAGACGAGCAAATTTTTTTTTATAAATATTAACTTGATAAACGAGCGAGGTCTTGCAATACGAGAATTACGTATACACTGCCGAGCGTCACGTGATCACAACTGAGCCTTCTTCTCTCTCTCGCTGTGGGATTGTGGGTAATTGCCCCCATTCTCGGTCTCAGTCGGCTTCCCTAACTCGAATAGTCAAAATTTAGTAGAAAAGCACCACCCGAATAAGGGCGTATAGCAGTGCGAGCGATGAATCTGTTTAATGACAATGCAATGTCACATTTCCGCGAAATCGAAAAGGAGGCAAATGCGGCTGTCATTGGATAGGTTCCTTATTAACCCTCCTCTTCTCCTCTCTCTCGTCTCCCTCACACCATCCACGATTCTTTTCAAAGGTCACCTCGGCGGCCGCCTATGGGTTCCCCCGCTCAGACTCGTCGCTTGCCTGTGGGTCACTCCACTCCAGTTCTTCGGTGGACGGCGCCTCCGGCTGCGCCATCGCCTGCTGCGGCTTCCCCTCCCTCCGTGCCTTTGCTGTGGTCCCCTTCTGCTCCCTCCTTGCCTTCGCTGGTGCCCCCTCCAGCTTCCTCCTCTGCCCCTCCATTGGTCCCCCCAGCTTCCTCCTCTGCCCTGTCGTTGTCCCCTCCGGCTCCTGCCTCACGGTCGCCCGGGGGCCCTCTGGCTTCGGCCGCCTTTCGCCGGCTGGGGTTCCCTCCGGCTCCTCTGGTTCCTCCTCCCTTTGCCTTTCTGCCTCCTGTCTCTGCTCCTCATCCCTCTGTGTCTCCTCTGTTCCCTCCTGGTCCCTTTGTCCCTCCTGTCTATGCTCGTTGTCCCTCAGTGTCTCCCGTGTTCACTCCTCGCCCTGTTATTCCTCCGTTTTCTGTTCCCTCTGTGTCTCCCTTCTTGGTTTGTCTGTCTGCGTTTCCTGTCCTTTGTCAGATTCTGTCTTGGTTTCTGCCCCTGTGCTTGTTCTGTGTTTCCGTTCTGTTTCCCGTCTCTCGTTGTTGTTTTGCTCTTGTTTTTCAGGTCCCGTGTCCCCGGTCTCGTCTCCTCCGTCGCCTCCCCTGCGGTGCGCCCGGAGTGCACGCCTTTGGGGGGGGGGGGGGGTTCTGTCATGACCTGCTCGTACAATCCTCGTGTGTGCCACGCCCCCTCATTACCTACGCGTGCCACCCCGATTATGATCACCTGTTGCCTGTTATTTTCTGCTTGTCTTGTGTATTTAGTCCACGTTCAAGTCTGTTTCCCCAGGTCTGACATTGACGTTGTTCGCTATGAGCTCCCCTGTCTGCCTTGCTTCCCTTAATAAACCCCGTATTGACCGCTTTTATTTTTTTTTATTGCCCACCACCACCCCCCCTCTTCGGAGGACAACTTTATTTTACATTAAATTCAAGAGCAAAGAGTGTGGCCGCTTTTTGGCTCTATCGCCTGCTTTTTTATGAATATTTCATATACGAGTGCTTTGGATTACGAACGAATACACTTCATACATAACGCACCTTATAGAGGTAAATGCAACTGTAGTAGTGAAATAGTTGTTATTTATTATTACTTGCACTTTTTCCCACAACCCACTATCCATATATTACATACTGTGTATATGGGTGTACATAGGCACTACTGCTGTATTTAGTGTTTTATCTTATTTTATTTTTTATTATTTTTTTTTTTTCTTGTATTCTTATTCTGTATTACTCTTGTACTCTTTCAGGCTATCTGTCTAGAGCTGTGGTAACGCACAAATTTCCCCACTGTGGGATCAATAAAGTCCTATCCTATCCGAATTATGCTCGCAATCCGAGGTTTTACTGTAATTGCTGTTTTTTTAAATACAATATGACTCCAATCAATAAATGAAAGCTAAGTATGGTTTTTTTTTAGTATGTAAACATTTACATAAATACATTTAAATAAACATAACAATAGCATAAGAATTTCTAGAAAAAAAACACGAGCACATACACATGTGCCCACATGCGCGCGCACACACACACACACACACAGGTTTGTAATTATATCTTTGTGGGGATTCTCCATTCATTTTTATGGGGAAAATCCTAATCCCAACACGACAACCTTAACACCAACCCAGCCCAACCTTAACTATAAGTAACCAAACAAAATGCGAGACATTTTAGTTTCTTGATTGCATTCACAAACCTTTGTGGGGACCTGAAAAATGGTCCTCATGACATTAAAAAAATGCTTTTATCACATTGTAGGGGACATTTGGTGCCCACAATTTAATATAAACATATTCCACACACACACACACACACACACACACACACACAGGTGCTCATTTTCTTCTTATAATTTCAGATTTAAGAAATATAATAATCTTTCACGATCTTTGACACAGAAGCAGAAGTTGATGTTACAAACATAAAGCTTTGATGTTATAACTAAACTAAACCCAATAACAAATTTGTTCAGATTCCTTTTTCAGATTCTCATCTTTTATAATATTAGCGCAAAATGCAAATACAGTATAAATACAAATTTGAGATAAAGGGGAAAAAAAGTGTGGTTTACCTACCTTGCAGACTGCCAGCACTCATTTGGCAGAGGAGCCTTGTCTTCATAAAAAGGAACCAAATGTGTTGCAATTTCCCCAAAAAGAGACAGAAAGAATGTACTTCATAAACCTCAGTAGTTTCAGCCTTTTCTCCAGGGGTGGATACAATAAGAGCTTGGGAAGAACTTGCTGAGTACATCAACAAATGGTGCAGGCACTTTACTTTTGTGACTTAATGCTTCGTGATTAGCCAGCCTCAACACTTGCTTTCAATCTGTCCACTATACGTGACAGCTTAATCATAAATGTGCTTAATATTGTCCGTTTTGTCGCAACTGTTTCAAGGGGCATGGGAACTGGGGAGGACATGTACCCCCGCCCCCCAATAAATAGACAATCGTAGGCTACTTAAATTATTAAATTGTGCGCCGCCCCCGCCCCCCATATCAAACTGTTACATACGATGGTGTCAATTATGTATTAGTATATAATACATATATTAATATATAACCGCAGAATGTCTGATTTTATACATGACGGTTATTTACAACTAAATATATTAAAATATAATTTGGCTCGTTTTCAGTATTTTTAGCGGCCCACATCACACAGGGGTTTGTTTTTATTATTGGTGTGGTAAGTTTCAAATCAGTAAAGTCAGAAATATAAAGCGGACCTTGGCCGCCTCGTGAGGCACGCTTCCTTTTTTTTCTTCGATATTTCTGCACGCTCAGCGTCACGTGCAATGCATGTTAGCGACAAACAGCCACTTTTTTGGAGGGAAAGTGTTTATGAGGGTTATTCCTTCACGGGGCTCCTCGATTTTCGAGAGCTGAAAATGGGAAGAAAATGTCATAATGCTGAAAATGCAATTTTGAAGAATAGTACTGCTATGATGTGACAGTCATTATATACATAGTTTACCTAATATAATGTAGTGTAGCGGCTGGAGGACTAGGGCTATTTAATGTTTATTATAGGACAGTCCTCCCACCCTTTTCAGCCAATCTCTGGTAATTTGTAGATAGCAGGAATGTGGGGTACCTGCGCAGTGGGCAAAATGAGAAGTGGTGGGCTTCGCACAACCCTATATATACTGGGGAACATTAATTGTCGCTCACTTGATTCTTTTGTATCGTGTTTTTATGGCGGGGGCTCCGGTGTTCTGTCGATATATGCTGCCTTGTCGAAAAATGCTACCGTAATGCTAATCGATAGCCCTAACCCCCCAAAACCCGCTAAAACCCTTACCTTAACCCTAACCCCTAAAACCTAACCCTAATCCCAAAACGGTGGAATTGCACATGCGCAGAAAGGCTCGATAGCAGCGTTGCCAACTTAGCGACTTTTTGACTTAGCGACTTTAGCGAGTTTTTAGACCTCTCTGGCGACTAGTGACAAATCTAGCGACTTTTTCTAGTGTTATTGGAGACTTTTGGAGACTCTGACGTGGAAGCACGTATCGTTCTTACTCTCCTCACCGAGCAGCGGGTGCTGCCGTGGGTTCCCCTCCCGTCCCAAAGCATTCACAGGCGGACAGTCCTCACGCAGCAGCCCCTCCCAGCTGCAGTCAGAGCAGGAGATGTTCACCTTTCCGCGTCCAGACTGCAAATGAATTGCGCATGCGCGAAGCCACCACTGGCTGATCCTGCCTTGGCTTATTGCCAAAAACTCCGCCAAGTATGACAGTTTTCAAGAATAAGTAACTCCGCCAGAGTGTCTTTGGGGTCACTTTTGCCGGTCCCAAGCCCGGATATAGGAAGAGGGTTGGAATTATGATATAAAAAAACAAGAATCGACAGAAGAAAGTTCATTTGTAGTTCTTAACGTATTTAGGGTGTTTTTTAACCACCTTTTGACTCTCCCACGACATTATTCCTCTCTCCTACAGCGTCCATTATAATTACATGCACATTATGCAAATTAGGCGATGGCGTCATTTAGCGACTTCTAGCGACTTTTGGAACAACCAATAGCTACATTCCTTGCTGAGGAGTTGGCAACAGTGCTCGATAGCACGTCTCGATAGGTAGTATTTTATGACAGGACACCGGCGGCCAAAGCCGTAGAACGTATGGTATGAGGTTCTCTCTTTAAGTCTGCTTATAGCTAGGTTCGCCAGGTTTACCGACAGATGGCTACAGGTATCATGTACTGATAGGGTGTCATAAATTCCGAAACCTAAAACATGTAAGAAAAATATCCCTCAATCACAGCCAGTAATTCTTAGTTACGTAATCGAAGTCAAAAAGTTAGAATTAAAACGTTAGAATAACTTATTGATATACAAGAATGGAAGGTATATGGTTTTGAAGAAATTCATATGGTTTAAAAATCAGTACTTACAGAATGATGATTATAAGGACACTACTCAAAACTAAAGTAGACCTCACATTTATAGTCATAAATGTTGGAAAGCTAAAAAGCGCATGCGTTACACATGCGCAACCAGCGAAATAATGTTACTTTAGATGAGTAATAGCAGGAAAACAACGGTTTCCAAAGCATTCGCAACTTCTGGGAATGTTCCCCTCTTTCGTAACGTACATAAATTTGTGGATGAGTGACACCTGCTGGTTAGCAATGGTAAATTTATCTCACGATTAGACCTGAACTCGAAGACGGCTCAACGTACACTGAACAAAAAATACAAACGCAACATTTATTTCAATGATTAAAAAAAAAAAAAAGAAATTAAGAAATGCATCTAACAGCTGAAATGGATTCAATGGATTCATTAGTCTCTCTTGGGCAAGGTACAATTTATTGTGACCCGTGGAATGTTGTCCCACTGTTCAGGGGCGCCGCTAGCAATTTTGGGCCCTATGACAAAATATGAGGTTGGGCCCCCCTACGGTAACTTATTATTAATAAAGCAGATCTCTGGGGGGGCCTAAAGGGCGTGGGCCCTTAGAATTGTCCCAACTTCCCCCCCCTTAGCGGCGCCCCTGCCACTGTTAAACATATGTGTGAGGTTTCAGGTGTGATATTGGGAGCTGGAAGATGCTGTCGTATATATGTGCAGATCCAGAGAATCCTAGAAATGCCCAGTGGGTGACTGCCTGGTCTGTGATTATGAAGCCAGTTGGTCTTACTGCCCAAAGCTGTAAAATGGTATTAGAGATGACTTATGGTAGTGGGCATCCCTGTACCCAGCATGACAAACTCGAGGCATCTGGGCTAATGTGTCGCAATTGTCTACATTATATGGAACATCTCCCTAGTGATCATGCTGCTAAATCAATGGGCTGATATGCCACACTGGTGCAGTTGATTACCAAGGATCATCAGTAGGTTAAAAATAAAATTTGACAAAGAAATA